AAACATGCTAATTGTTGTAACAGAGAAGATGTCAGTAAGATGAGAGGAAGCAAAAAGTGACTTCCAGGGTAGGAAGAAACTCCTCCCTGAGGAGCCCCTGAGGAGCAATCAATGCCCACAGCAGCCCTGCTCCTACAGAAAGCAGCTCTGGCGGGTACAGTTCATCCCTGCACAAATCCATGCCCATTTGGCCAATATCTAGCAGAGCCATGACTGGGGTAGAAGAAATGTCCCCTGAATCTAGGCCTAACCACCTACCACTTTAGGCTATTATGATTTCTTTCCTTCTGGTTGGATAGCTCTTAAAGGGATTCAAAGAGATTGCCTGCACATATGGAGTGACCTCTTTGTTCTGTTGACTCAAAGGATAGAGATATTCTTTATTTTTCTGAGTATAGTTACACCGAGCTGAATGATAAACTGGCCCCTCACTCATATGCCTCACTGCAATGGTCAGTGTAGCCAAACTCAGTGTCAATTTAATACTCTAGCCTCCAAGTATAATGGCTCATTCTGTAGGTTACAGTTACCTCCTATCGGACCATAATAATGACATATTTGTATTCGAGCCAAGGTGAAACTGTCAATTTGGTTGGAAGAACACATTTTCCAATGCCATTTAAGAAAAATAGAAAAGGTCATATAATTAATTTTACCCCATTTTCCAAATCCTTTTTGCCTTCTGTCTATAATAATAAAAATACCTACTATCTATCTAACCTGTCTAACCTACTATCTGTCTATCTATCTATATGATATAAATGGGTAACAGTTTAGCCTTTACCCTTCATATTCTAAGAAAAAGTGTGAGTGTGTACACATATATGTGTGTATATATACACATGTGCGTGGGGTGTGTGTGTATGTGTATGTACACACACATATACCCCACACACTTTTTCTTGGGTGGTTCTCCCCATGAGCAAAGATTAGCCAAGCTGCTCTGAAAGTTTTTTAGGGATATTAGGACCCAAGCAGAGTAGGGACATAGGCTGACGTACAACTTTGGGGTTTACTGTAAGCCTGTTTTTCCCTTTAGTGACACTACTGGAGTCCCCTAGGGGCCCTCAGAGTCTTCATTCACTTTTGGGTACAAATGGGTAGTAGTAGTTCAGCTACTATCCTTTGTATTTTAAAAGAGCTCATCGCTCCAGGAGAAAGAGATGGAGCCTGGAGGGTGAGATCTCAGGCAGAATTTGGTGGGATGGGTTGCAGGGGTAGATTTGGTTCTAAGGCATCTATGGTTGCCACCTTCCACTCCCATCTGCTATCTCCGGCTAGGTGTCCTGGGGCCTGGGATGGCTCCAGTTCCCAAATGGAAACCTATGTTTTTGCTCCTGCATGAGCCTGGCCAGCCACTGGCCCCACACAGATCACTTATCTCCCAGGCTGAAATAGTCTGATACTGGCTGAGAACCATAATGGCAGCAAAGCACCCTCTGAGTAGTGACAGTAGACAACACAAAGTTAATTTTTAGAGGGCAGGCACATAACCGACAGAGGTGCTCACACCTAGCACTTCTGTACTCTTCCATGCCAAGACCCTTGGCTACAGTTTTCCCATCCTGAATTGACCAAACGTAGCAAATTTGGAAGCAGACATACTACAGCAGCAATAATGGCTAACAGCCTGGCCTAAAGAAGGAAAAAGATGCAAGGTGATGCAAGAGCTCAGAAGGGAGCATTCAGTGAAGGGGTAAGCTGACCACAACAGCTCGGTGGCCCGTGAAGACATCACTGTGCTGTACTACAGCGCAATACAATAAGTAGTACTCTGGTAATAACTCTGGGTCATCTGGCAAAGTTTAAATGATATCAATGTGCTCTGTTTAGGAAGATAATTCTAAAGCTCTGGAAAAGGAGACAGCACTGAGAAAGGCCCCCTAGAGGAGAGTGGTAGTTACTGCATTGTGAAGCTACCTCAAGGGGCCCCTGGGCAGGGAACCACCTACCTCTGAATGTTATCTTCGAGTTGCTTGACTCTGAACTCATCCTCTTCAGACTGCCGCCTCCTGGCTTCCTCCTCTTCGGCGGTTCCAGCGGGTATACCCTGCAGCAGCCATTTTTCCCGAAGCACTTTGGACTGTGGGAATGAGGGAAGACAACAGACAAGATGATACTTTTCAGTCCACATCCTCCCCTCCCTCTGCTGTTTTAGTTCCACGCCTCATCAGTGTTCCCCTGAATCGCTGCCTTCACCTCCTCACTAACTTGGCTCCCTACTT